TTTTCAAAAACGTGCACAGTTCTGTTTTCTTCTCCCCCTTGCATTTGTTGAATTCTTTGCATCCCTGATCATGGCTGGTAGCACACTGGAATGGCTACATTTTACCGTGACATCAGGTTCTGGGAGGTTCTTGCACCATGTTCAGGATGAACGCTGTGAGTGTGAGCTGTTTCCAGGAGCTCACGGTTGGTACTGCTCTGTTGCACACTTTTAGGGTTTACATCTAGAGGGCCTCTTAGAGTGACACACCATGACAGTTGGGACCTTACAGAGGTGCTTAGACTATGGGGTAGGCAGCTGACTTGGGGTCTGGTTGAAAGAGGTAGGGGGTTGCTGCCCAGACAGGTATGTCTTCCTCCCTGGCTTCTTCCTGATGTTGCTTCCTGTTGCCCTGCTACAGACTGTTTCTCCTTGACCAGGCCCCTCTGCCATGCCATCCTATCTTGGAGCTATGGACTGAAACCTTTACAACCTGTGATCCAAGTAAACCTTTCCTCCTTTAACTTGTGGATGTCAAGTAGTGTGTCTCAATCATAAGGAAAGCGACTAACACTTTACATGACATACACCTTGAACCTTACCTCAAAATGAACACTAGAAAAAAGGTACAGGAGTGGCTAGTCTGTTACCTAAGAGCTGGAGAGAAGCAAAAGTCCCTGTCCTTAATTTAAGGAGATGGTCACAATTTAAATTTATATTTGGACATTACTGGGCATTCTTTTCTAAATACTTGGCTTTTCCAGTTTTCCATTCCAATACTTAGGTATATATTGTTTCTGTTTCATACTTGTCAACCTTTTACTAAAAGTTAGAAAAGAACTAGAGGGAATTAAATTTTATTGCAAGGTATACAAAACAGTGATTAAGAATAAGAGCTTTGGAACAGATACACTGGGATTTGAATTCCAGCTCCCTGGCTTCCTCGTTGCCAGCTTTGCTAAGTAACTTCACCTCACATATGAAAATCAGGAACATAATGCCAACTGCAAAGCTTTCTGGACATGAAAGAAAACAAGATGTCTAAGTGATGGAACAGACTGAAAAGGAAGTTGGCACAGGGCAGTTAACATTATCTATTGTATACTCATTTCCTGGTGCCAATTGTGTTACACACTTATTCTATCAACCCAACAAAGGGGGCATAATTATCCTCATCTTATAAATGAAGAAACTGAACATAAAGAATTTGTAAGGCACCATAAACATACTAACTGTTCCACAGATGAGGAAGTGGCAGTAGGAAATAGTTAACTTTCCAGTGTCTCAAAGTGATGCAATTTATACCCAGTGCAAAGAGTGTCTGTTTGATTTGAAATTTTAAAAATCCCTGATATTTGATAATTCTCAATTTATTGTCCATCTTAACAGGCTATGGTATTTCCTTACTTACATTAATTTAAGAACCAACTTTTGGGGATGGGACATATTTCATCAAAGAGTGTGTGCTTAATATGTTCAAAGCTCAGAGGTTAATTCCCAGCACCAAAAAAAGAAAATCATTTTTTGTCAGTGTTATAGCTTGTGCTGCATCCAGATGTTCCCCCAGAGCTCATGTGCTCTTAGAAGCTGGGTGATTCTAGGGCATGTGGTAGTGGGGGTTAAGAGCAGGCAGTACCGACTTAGTCCACTGATTGGCTTAGCATAGTTCCGAATGTGGATAATGGAAATCCCACCTTAGGGGTGGGTAGAATCAATCAATGGGCCGATAGCATAGATGGAATAAAAAAGGGACGGAGGGAAGGCAGGCTCACTGCTGTTGTGAGCAGCTTCCTGGCTGCATTGCTATGGATTGTTTCTCCTATGTGACGCCCCCTGGTAATGCCACATTGTCTTGAGGCTGGCCAACCATGAACTAAAGCCTCTATAAACTTTGAGTCAAAACACACTTTCCTCTTTCAACTTTGAGTGTCAGGGATTTTTTCTCAGAAACAAGAAGAGTAATTAAGATAGTAACAGACCTGGGATATTGACATGATTGCTGCAAATAAAGATAAAGTCACAAGTGTTGGGATAGTGTCTCTATGTTGTATTTTTTAATCAGGCTCTAGGCAGTCATTGCTGTTGATTTCTTTTCTAACTCAAGCAATTTATGATGACTTTTCTGTAAGTTCTCCTAATCAATTGAAAGTATTTTCTGAGGTTTTATTTTTAAAGAGAATAAAACCAAACAAAATAAAATAGAATAAAGGCAATCAAAATAAAACAGTGAAAGTGATCTAGGACTTCAAAATAAGGTAATAGGAAATCAACAAAGGCTACTATAATGCCTCTTGTTATCTTCAAAGTAACTACCCATACCATCAGATATAATAAAATCAAATGAAGCAAAACAGAATAAAACCAAACCAAACAATGAAAGCAGAACAGGAATTCAAAATAAGATAATAGGAAATAAAAAATGACTATCATAATATGTCTTGTTATCTTCAAAACTGTTGCCCATGCCATCAGATATAATAAAATCAAACCAAACAAAACAGAATAAAACCAATCAAAACAAAACAATGAAAATGATATAGGACATTAAAACAAGATAATAGGGAATTAACAATGGCTACCACTTTCAGAAGGAGATCCCCCATAGTTGCTATATGCATATTGTTATACCTTAAATAGATGCTCAGACTACCAGCTTTAGGGCTGCAAAGTCAATCAAACAACATAGGCATTAAATTGTTGTTTTACTTCAGTGGCTATCCTCTTAGTCTGTGATTCTCTGAATCAGCTGGTTGCTTGGGGTAGAGGAAGGCCTCAACACTTTTTGTCTCCCAGCCTGAGTGCCAGCTGGCTCACAGGAAGGGGTTGACCGGGCCCATCTTTCTGAGGGTATATTTTGTATGGCTGGGAATTGAACCCAGAGCATCTGCACTGAGCTATATTCCGTCTTTTGTATTTTTTATTTTTAGACAGGGTCTCACTGAATTGACCAGGTGGCATTTGAACTTGTGATCCTTCTTCTTCAGTCTCCCTAGTGCTTGGATTATGCATTTACCACTATGCCCAGCAGAGTGCTATTTTATTTTAAATAGCTATGTCAAGTGATCCCTATAGCTCTTTAAGTTTACAATGTATTGCTGAGCCAGTATGATAGTACCAAAAACAATTAGAGACCAACAAAAGTGGATACAATTGTAATGAAACAGCTACCGATTGAGCTGTATAAAAATTTGAGTCTCCACTGAGTGTGACAATGCCTGTCTGTAATTCCAGCTACTTGAGAGAGTGAGGCAAGAGAACTGGAGTTGGAAACCAGCATGGGCAATGTAATAAGACCCTGTCTCAATTTTGTTTTCATTTTTTAGTTTCCTAATATAGCAAATTCTTATGATTTATGTTGCCTTGGCATCCATCTGGAAGATATTCAACTCAACTTTTTTGGCCAGAAGTAGGACTCAGTCACTCTTGACACAATTTCTAGTTCTCTTCTTCCTGTGCTTCACTGTGGTGGACCCAGATATCTGTCTTTGTCTTACTTTCTCATTCCTGGAACAAAACACCTGACACTGAAGGCGGGAAGGTTATTTGTAGAGGTTTTGGTCCATAGTTGGCTGGCTGTAAGACAGGGAAACATGGCAGAAGAGCATGGCAGAGGAGAAACAGTCCATGACATGCTAGGTAAAAGCAGTGAGCCTTCATTTTCCTTTGATCTCATCCAGGCTACAATCCTATTGGTTGGTGCCACCCACACCCAGGGTGGGCCTTCTCATTATCTACACCCAGAACTAAGCTAAACCAATCAGTGGACTAATTTAGTACCACACACCCTTAATCCATAGTCACATCCTGGATCCAGGCATCTCTGAAAAGCCCTACCTATGAGTGCATGAGGTTTTGGGGGGCATCTAGATACAAGCCATAACAATCTTATAAAACTTCATTCTGGTAACAGCTAGATGCAGTCTACTTCATTCTTTCCATGGACCCATACAATAAGCCACAGTGACCAGTAGGCAGTCATGGAATGACTCCATGAAACTTTTCTGCTAGCTCTCAGCCCACCAATTAGAACTCCCCATGGGAAATTTCCAGGGTAATATCCTGAACCCCAATAAAGGATTTAACTCTAGTGGTCCTCTCCCTATTTCTTTCTCTCCCTCTTTTGCTGGTTGATTTCCCAGTCACTTCCAGATTTTCCTTCCACATCACGAGAGACCTCTGAACCAAATTAGAAATCATAACACTAAAACCTCAATGCCTAGCAGTCACATGAACATGATCAGAAAAGCACAGAGACAGCAAAGAAGTAATTTTTCCTTGGCCTAACTTTCAAGAATTTCTCCCGATGCCCTTGACAAAAGACATAATACAATCGGTTTTCAACTTCATTCCTAAAGCAGAAGCAGAATAAAATTCACTCGTTTGGCTAAAAACTGATCAGGTGTAACGTGTAGGATGCCTGGGCACCATGCAACAACAGCAGAACGTGTATGGCACTAGGAATGTGTGCACTGCAGCGCGTCTTTCCCAGCGTGGCTACCTGGTGGAGGTCTGAGAACTGCTGCTAGTGGCAATTTCTCTAAGTTGGCTTTCAGAGTCCCTTGCTGAGACTCAGGGCCTGCTCCAGTTTCTCTGGGAAGGCCCACCTGCAGGCCGCACATTCACAGTGCCTCTGTCCTCTTCTGCTGCACCCCACCCGCCCTGATCGCCAGGCAGGGCACGTAGCTGAGATAGGGAACTGCGACTCAAAATCAGGCAGTGCCCTACTCCAGGCTGTCACACTTTGCAGTCCAACCGAAACAGAACGCGTTAGGTCACTTTCGTGGCTTAACAAAACAACTCTAAAGACTTGGTCCGAAGAGTGAAGCCTGGCGTTCCTGGGCGGTTCCGAGCACGTTGCGCTCCACTACTGCACAGTTTGGGAAACCATTTTCTCCTTTTTGCGCTGACACCCGCTGGGCCAAGCTCTGAGCACGCCGCCTGCGGGGGGCCCAGAGGCGGGCCAGACACTGGAGGCACCGAGTGCGCGTGCGCGTCGGCGCTGCGCGGGGGCGGGGCGGCCGCGGGGCGCACGCCGTAAACAGACAACATGGCGGCGGCTGCGGCGGTACCGGGCGCTCTGGGCACCGTGCAGGCCAGCCGCGCGCGTCTCGGCCCCGGCTGGCGGCTCTCCGGCTCGTGGGTCGGCCGGCGGGTGGGCCCGGCTCTGTGGGCCCGGGCCTGGGCGTCCGCGGCCGGGGGTCCCGCCCCGCGGAGGGGCTACGTCTCGGAGGTGAAGAGCGAGGAAGAGCTGCGGGTGCGGCAGCTGGAGGAGGAGAACCGCGGTGAGCGGCGGCCTGGGCTGCATCTCGGGGGCCTCGCGCGCCTCCTCAGAGCTGCGCGCCAAGGTCGCGTCGGGCGGCGCGGGCCGCACCTGTGCGGTTGCGGACGCTGCGGGGAGGATACACTTTCGTCTTGCAGAGCCCGGACTCGGAAGCAGTTTCCCCGTGTCTTTTTATCTTAGAAGTTAGTTTTGTTTCGTTTCAGTTAAATGATTCAGAGCACTTTCTGTCTTGCTGAGCTCTGGGGGCAGACAGTGTGCAGGAGGTGATTGATTTTGTCCTTGTGCTTCCGTGTGCCTGGGAGGCAGACGCCAGGCCTGGACTGTGCAGAAGATACGAGGGTACTTGGTTCCTTCTGCTCGCAGTGCTGGAAAGGGCTGGAGGGGTCTCGAAAAGGGCGGCACAGCACATTGCTCAGGTTAGGGCAGGGGACCAGGCATTTAGTTTTGGCATACATTTATTGAACACCTATAATCCATTATGCAAAAGTGAAAATCGAATATATTAGGGTTTTTAAGAAGCACTTGGAAAGCATCGTGAAGAATACCTGGAGTGCTAGTCTTAAAGGCATGTGAGAGCAGAGAGCTTCAATACTTGCAGGGTTTGGCAGGTGAGAGGAGTTCCAAGGCTATGCTTACCAGGCAGTGGATAGGGAGGGTTCCTGGGCAAATTTAGCTGCATTTCACTTGTCAGGCATGCAGTCAGGTAGCATTGTTTCTTAGGGGGTCATTTCTTTCATGACTGTCCATCCCACAGCGTTTTAGAGCAGGAGTCTGGTCTTGGCGGCTCTTCTCATCTTTTTCGTAGGTCTGTTGGCCTCCAGTCATTCTCCTTCCCAGTTTATTCCTCACGTTACTGCTAGGGTTACTCTCCGAAGCCTAAGAATCATTGATTGCACAGTTAAAAACCTGTCATGGGTCCTGTAAAACCTTCTCAACCATTAGGCCTCACAGTCTATTTCTCTGCCACTGAATCTAGACTTTGCCTTGCCCTGCCTTTTTTTGTGTGTCTGGGATACAGCACACTTTTCCTGGAGTGACTCTTCCCTTTGCTCTGCCAGCCTGCCTTCCCGTGGTGTGGTAAGCTGTACCATGTATCATCTACTGTAATTGTGTGCTATTTCAAAGATCATCTTTGCAAACCTTCTGGCAGAAATAGAGCAGGCAGATGCATAGTGCAGAGTCATTCTTGATCCTGGCCTCCTCATGCAGCACATCCAGGACAGGATCCCATCTCCCAAGTGTCTGGGAGAGCTTTCTGTGTTCTCTGTGCTAGGCATCCCCTGCCAGTCCACTGGACTGCTCAGCGGCCTGTGATAGGTCTGTTTTCATGTTATAAAAATGCACTTTAATATATTTTATGGTTATGTGACTTATATCTTAGTAAAGTAGGTTCTGAGATATTTGTACTTATTTTCTACTGAGATGTAATTCATAAACTGTGATGTGAAGATCTCACATTGTGCCTTTCTTTACTTCATTCAGAGTTGTGTAGTAATGGTCAGCAAGGTCTAGTCCTTGTGCTGCGGTTCCCCATTGCCCCCTCCCCGGTTCACTGGAGCTTACCTACTTTCTCAGTGCGTTGTCTACTCTGATGAAGTCCGTTCTTCAATCTTTTATTCTTTTGGATTGATGCTAAGTGGGATTTTTCTTAACTTCATTTTCAGATTGTTCATTGCCAGTACATAGAAATACGATTGATTTTTGCACAGCACAAGTTGCACAACTTTGATGAACTTTTATCTTTTTTTTTGGTTCGGTGATTGAACTCTTGACCGCCTGCACGTTTGCAAGGCAGGCACTTATGCCACTGAGCTAAATCCCTGGCCCCTTTTTTGTTTTAATAATGTCTTAGGAATTTCTTACTACTTTCATTTGCAGATAAGGTAATTTTACTCCTACCTTTTCAATACGGGTATCTTTTAGTTCTTATTTCTTTTTTTTCTTTTGTTCCTGGGGGATGGAACTCTTGACCCGGTGCTTGCAGAAAGTTCTGTTTCTTACAGTTGATGAGTCTGGAGCCTCCACAGCAGTGGCCAGAATCGTGAAAATGGGAGGAGCATTCAGACATCACCATTCAGTGTGATGTTAGTAAGTTTTTCAGATAGGCTTTATTCCTTAAGTTTGTGTGCTGAGTGTTTTATCATGTTGAATGTTGTCATATATTTTTCTGAGTCCATTTGGGTTATCATGGTTTTACTTGTTGAATCTGTTGATGTGATGAATTACATTAAATGATTTTTAAATATTGACTGTACTTGGAGACTTAGAGTAAACCCCACTTGCTTGTGGTGTAAATCTATTTTACATATGGTTGGATTTCATTTGAGAATTTGTATTTTGAGAGTGTTCACATTTATGTTTATGAAAGATATTCATTCTTAAATGTCTGATTTTAGAATGAGGTGTACTAATTTCATAGGATGAGCTGGGATATTTGCCTTACACCTTGATTTTCTAAAGAAGATTGTAGAAAAACAATGTCATTTTGTTGGTATTTTAGAGGAATTTATTAATGAAATCATCTGTGTTTAATGATTTCTGTGTTAAGCTTTTAAACCATGTAGCTCAGGTTGGTCTTGAACCTTCAGTCCTCCTGTCTCAACTTCTCAGGTGTTGAGTTTAGAAGTGTGTGCACTATCGTGCCTGTTACACATTTTTTTTTTTTTTTTTTTTTTGCAGAACTGGGAATTGAATCCTGGGACATGGTAGGCAGGTACCTAAAATATTTTTCCAGCCTTTGTTGTCCTTGTTTGTTTATTCATTCTGTTGCTTAGGCATTCTCTCTCTTTCTGTGTGTGTGTGTGTGTGTGTGTGTGTGTGTCTGTCTGTCTGTCTGTCTGTCTGTCTTACTGCTTCCTGTGGTTCTGATCAAGCATTTTATATGATTTTATTTTGTTTCTTCAATTTTTTTTTTATCGGTACCGGGAGTCGAACTCATGACTGCCTGCTTGCAAAGGCAGGCGCTTATGCCACTGAGCTAAATCCCCAGCCCCTTATTTTGTTTCTTAGCCTATCAGTTACACTTCTTTAAATGTTTTGTAGTGATTTCCTTAGAGTTTTGCAATATACATTTATGGCTAATCTAAATTTATTTTTAAATTAACATTGTGCTGCTTCCTGGTAATAATAAAGTACTAGCATTCTCAGTGTTTTCCTCCTGTTCTCTGTAACAGTGCTATTCATTTCCCTTCTGGAACTAGAATCATCTACACATAGTTCAATTTTTTTTTTTTAAAGAATTGCTACCTTTTACTCCAGTTAGGAATTATAAATCAAAAAGAATCTTAAATTTTATATAGTATGTTTGTTAGCAGAGGTAGATAGATATACTTCTTAATATCTTTTGTTTTTTTTTTATGTAGGACAAATGAAAAAGGTTGTTTTTGGGAATGAGATTTTTCATTATGGTGGGAGGAAAAAGTACAGATACAGAATAGGGAACACAAGGTGTGAAAGAAACCTGGAATGGTACATTTAGGGTTAGGGTTAGGATACACTATGCTTTCAGGTAACCCTAAAAACCATAAGCACATTATCATCTAGTTTTGTGCACTGAAATAACCTAAAAGCCATGACGCTACCATGATAGTAAAGATATTTAGTACCTGGATCATGGTTTCTGAATACAGCTTTCTGATAAACATAAGCCAGTGCTCTTTGAAAAAATAGCTGATTTTCTTTCTGGAACTGGAAAAATGTAACGGGAACCTGGAAAACCTTCTTGAGTCAGAAATAAGCAAATGCTCAGGGAATACCAACAGGAATATTTAAAGGGTGTGGCAGTGGCTGCAGAGAGGTCATCGGAACATTCAGAGGCATCGTGGTGCTGCTAGGTCATGGATGGTGCATGAAGAATGCGTGATGCTGTGGGAGTGCTTAGTAGGGGAGAGGGGAGCTAGTGTTTAGCGAGGAGGGATAGCAGAAATCCACTGGATCGGAGTCTCTGCCAGAGTGATCTTGGCTGCATAACCTCGGAACCCTCTATCTGTGGGTGCCAGGTCATCCCAACACCATTTGTTCATTTTTTTTACCCACGGATTTGAAAAGTTTTATCTAAATTTAACTGAATTTCCAGACGTTTTATTATTTTACTATCACATAAATTTTACTTCTAGTGTTGTATTAAGATGCTATGTTATGTTTTGGTATATGATGGGCTGGTTCCTCTCTCCTTTATCATTGCTTTCTGTTTTGGGGGGTATACTGCATTATTTTCCCCATGAACATTAGCATCTTCATCAGTAGTTTCAAAATTGGGATTGTTTTGAAGTATTCATGTTAATTTTCCCTATGTAAGAACATGGTATGTGTTTTCATTTGTTCAAGTGTGTTTTTGTGTGTCTTGACCTTTTTTGTTTATTTGGAATATATTCCAGGCTGGCCTTGAACTCACTGATGTAGCCCAGGTTGGTCCTAACCTGGTGGTGGTCCTCCTACTTCAGCTCCCAAGTGTTAGGATCACATGTTTTAGTTTTAATGATGTCCACCAGTGGGATTGGCAGGGTTCTTGCTAAGTATGTCACTGCCATCCTGCTGTGCATTCTGCCTCCTTTGCTCTTTTCTTACTATTAGCTACCATTATCTGATTACATAGTACTTTCATTACCCCCTTTAGAACCCCCAGAATAAACTTCTGCTTTACTCTTCTTCCATTTCCTCCTCCCCAGCCTCTAGGAACTCCTGATCTCTGCTCGGTATTCCATAGACATAGAATGATAGATGCTCTTCTTTTTTCTAGAAGCCTGAAGTTCCATATTAGGTTGTTTATTTGAGCTGTTTTTCTGATATGAGAATTTATTGTTATAAATTTCCTTTGTAGGACTGCTTTCATTAAATTCTGGTACATTGTATTGGCATTACTGTTTAATTGTAGAAACTATCAAATTTCTTAATTTTATCTGTGATCCATTGGTTGTCCAGAGGATGTCATTTAATTTCCATGTGTTTATGTACTTTTTGTTTTTTCTTTTGCCATTGATTTCCAATTTCATGGCACTGTAG